GCATGCACAGACACAGAGACAGAAAACACACACACACAAACACACACACACACACACACACACACACACACACACACAAATACCTTCTGCCCACATCTTTTATAACGATTTTCCCCTGAACTTAGTACATGTCAGGACAAGCTGTCTAATAAAAAGCACAAGTTTCCTACTTTGCCAATCATTATTGTCAAGCCCTGTCAAGCCCTGGCCGTGCTCGCTGTACGGCTACTGTTCTGGCATTTTGAAGTAAAGTTTCTGTCAATTTCAAATAGAGGAACGAAGAGAGGGAGCAAGCTTCTGTGTTCTGTGAGTGTGCTAGAGAACCTACTGGGAGCAGCAGAGGGTGCTCAGTGATACTTAAAAATGGCAATCCTGAACTTTCTTTCTTTTTAACTAACACACAACAAACAAAAGCCATTCAGAGTGTCAGCTCTTAAAAAATTTCAGACTTGCACTGCACTGTGTAACTTTTACATTCATTAAAAGTTAAATGTTCACCTAACACTGGGGGCCTATTAGTTTGCAGCTAATGGGGCTCTACTCTCTAGTTTTAATGGTCAGCAATCCTGTGTTAAGTAAAAGCCACTTCACTTTTTTTAACTGCTTGCCACAGTACAAAGTTTTTTGCAATGGAAGGAAAAAAATGGTGAATACATACTGACATAAAAACTGACCGAAATCTCAGTCCTGAATTAGAATACATGTATGTATGTATAAAAATTTGTGTTAAATAAAGGCTTAAATAATAAGAAAATAAAATAAGAAAATACCTCTCCTTGTTATTACATACATTGTTTTTAATGTAGATCAAGTGGTTAAGTCAATATTCCTCGCCATAAATAATGAAGCCCATAAGTACAAATGACAAATCTTATTTCCTTTCAGGTGCACGCTGAGGAAATTTCTGGCAACAACGGATATGTGGAACTCTCCTTCTGTGCCAAGAAGCTTGATGATAAGGTGAGTGGAGCACACAGTTTTGATGGAAATGCCAATATGCCTCATGTTTTAGTAGCACCAGACAGGGGTAGTACAAGTGGTAATGTGATAATCACATTAATCTGATACACAGGGCAACCTCAGAAAGTAAACAATGCATCTAAGATACGCATTTGTAAGGGATTCTTTTTCAAATTACTTCATGTTAAAGGGAGAGAAGAAAAGTGATAACAGTTGATTTCACATCTTTGTAGTGACATAATGTCCTAACATGTAAAGATACAATGTTAATTAGTGAACATACTAGTCTAAATTACATGATAGCACATAATATCGCATGTGAAATGTGTGTTATTACATGTTGAATGGTTCCGTGTTAAGGCTGGTATCACTGACCTTAGCTGCTCCTACTCTCACAAGTCACACTGGCAAACTTTGCTGAAGGCATATTTCAATCAAAAAGACAGCATGAGCTTGCATCCAATTACAACTCTGATGATCTGAAGGCGCTCCATGTTCTTAGGAGCAACCCTTAGGATGCCATACTCATATGTAGCCCTTGATTCCCAGTGGTATTGGGAGAAAAAATTAAATTTTCTACAGCGTGTGCATTTATTTTTCACTCTGACAGTGAAATTTGCCCAGACTCAAGAGCAATGATAAAAAATGTCCTCCTCTGTTATATATACTACATATACCCTGTCTGGTACAGGAAGCACTGGGTTTCTGCTGAAATTCTGGAGCGATTCCAACTGCTTGATTTGTTTAAACAGATGTGATTGCCACTTTTTACATTCAAAATAATCACTGTTACACTTTTGATGTTACAGCTGTGGGTGCATCACTGTGGGGCAATGTTGTGTAATGGCGTGCCACAGAGACACTACTCTAAACAGACATTATAGCAGTTTTTATCTTGGAATAAAAACCTGTAAATTTTAGTTTTTGATGCAAAATATCTAAAACCACTGATAATATTTGTATTATATTATATATTATTATAACATTTTAAATGAATAACTATATTTAATTGACGTGCACAATAAAGATTAGAATAGTATTTGGCAGTTAGATCCCATCGTGATGTCCTGATTGTAATCAGAGAGGATTGGTGAAGCTGTGATTAGTATAGGAAACCCCCTGATAGAGTCTAGTGGGGCAGATTGGGATGTGACGAGGAGTGGACTTCTAATGAGCTCAACCTGGGCACTGGATATGATGACCGTGGAGGTGAAAGGGGTGGAGGGGGGTCGGAGAAACGCCCATACTCAGTTGATTAAAGCGAGTGAGAGTGAGAGAGAATTGTGAAAGAATTAGGTATAAATAGTCTTGTACTGACTGAACTTGACTGAGCTTCATTTCAATCCCGACGTTCCCATGAAAATGTGATTTTATCAGCAATCAGGTATATTATACACATTTTCTTAACAAAACAAATTGGTTGCGACAGACCACTTGGGTGCAGCAATTTATCTAAAATAGACAACAGATGATGACTGAAGCAGCAAACTGTTTTTAATTAGCTGCTTGTCAGCTGTATCACCTCTCAACCTGCTGTGAATATTTAAGGAACACACTACAGACATTGACGAACAGGAGGATTAATAA